TGTAAGTGCTATGGGGCGGTAGCTTGTAGGTAGAGAGGGATCTCTTCCAGGCTTCAGCAAAGGTATAACGTGGGCACATCTCCAAGTATGCGGAAAAACAGCAGCTTCCCAAAGGTAATTGAAAAAGGATAGCAGGTGGTACAAGGATTCATGAGAGAGGTGTTTGCGCATCTCGTAGTGAACTTTGTCTGGCCCAGGTGCAGACTGCTTTTTTAAGCTGAGAGCAACTTCGAGTTCACACATTGTGAATGGTTTGTTGTATGCAACAGAGTTAAAGCCTGAAATAGTGAATTTCTGTTTTTCAGCGGTAGACCGGAACTTTACAAACTCCGTACTGTAATTGGAAGAGCTACAAACACGCTGAAAATGTTCTGCGAGGAAGTCTGCTTGCCCTGTTAGAGATGTTGAGATCGAAGGAAAAAGTGGAATCCTGAAAGCATGGTACTGCCCGCGAACTTTTTTGAGACGATCCCATACTTCTTTAGCCGTGACAAAACTATTTAAGGATGAAACATACTTTGTCCAAGAAGCCCACTTTGCCCGTTTTCGCGTCCATCGAGCTTGTGCTCTTTTTTCCTAAACTCGATCAAGTTACGGAAAGTTGGATACCGCCGAAAAGTTCCCCACGCCTTGTTCTGGCTTTTCCGAGTGGAAGTATATTCCTTATTCCACCAGGGCTTGCACCTCCGGGGAAGATTTCCTGAAGTCTGTGGAATTGAAGCGGAAGCAGCATTTATAATGCATTCTGTAACGTAAAGCGTCGCATCTTCGGGAGTCATATGAAGAAACAAGGGCGGATCAAGTGCTGCTTCTATACCAAAATTAGACCAGTCGGCCTTTTCCAACTTCCATCGCGGGAGTCGAGTTGGTATCGATGAAACTGGTAAAACGCTCTCTAAAATTATGGGTAGATGGTCGCTGCCAAAAGGGTTGTCTAAAACGTTCCATGAAAAACATGGAAGTAGAGATGGTGATGATAGTGATAGGTCGATTGATGTAAAAGTGTTGTGGACAGCACTAAAAAATGTAGGTTTTTTCTTATTCAGTAAGCAGATTCCAGTTGATAATAAAAGTCGTTCAACAACTCCACCTCGAGAGTCCTGACGAGAGCTTCCCCCCAAAGGATGGTGGGCGTTAAAATCACCAAGGATTAAAAAAGGTTTGGGGAGTTGGTTGATGAGTGCTTGGAGTTCGTGAAGATGAAGCGGAACATTAGGTGGCAAGTAGAGTGACACTAGAGTGATGAGGCGGTCAAGAAGGATGCAAACTGCAACTGCCTCGAGTGAAGTTTGTAATGGAACTTTGGCACATGCCACTCCACTCTGAACCACCACTGCTACACCACCCGAAGGACTTGAGGAATGGCGGCCCTTTCTAAAAACTTGATAATGACGCAAAACCTTTGTGTGCGAGTCAGTTAGGTAAGTCTCCTGTAGGCAAATAGCAACAGGGCGGAGCTCATCAAAAAATAAATTGATGTCGTCTATGTTACGTAGAAGGCCGCGACAGTTCCACTGCATAATCCCTATATTTTTAACCATTTAAAACACAATAAGTATAACATAAAATTCATATTAAAAAGCTATGTTCCTTAGGGTTTAAAATCTATTTTCACACGTGGTGCACTTTGTTTCTTAGAGGGGTTCTGCTTCCGATTAGAGTCACCGGAGGCAGAAGGGGTGGACTCTGTTCTTGAGAGGAGAGTCTCCTCATCAGATCTCGACCCACCCTCGTCCATGGACTCGTCTGCAGCCGCCGGCAGCTGGACCCTGGAGGTCGACTGCCTTGGCACCTCCCCAGGCTTCCTCTGGGGAGCAGAGGTGTGGGGAGGTAGGCCCCGGCCCCGAGAGGTCGAAGCGGCCGGTTGAGCAGGAGACGTCGTCCCCTGTTCTGGGGTCAATGCTGGCAAGGCAGCATTCACCTTGCGGTTCGGGGGCGGTGCCCCTGGCACCGCTCCCGGGGGTTTGGAGGGGGACCGTGATGGGAGATGCAGGTCGTCCGGAGACGTCTGCGTTCCCATCGAAACCACTGGCCGCGCTGGTCCCCTGCGCACGGCCTCGGCATAAGAGCCCTTTGAGACAAAGGCAAAACGCTTCTTTGCCTCCACGTAGCTGATGTTTTCAGTAACGTTTAGTTGAAGGACTTCTTTCTCATCTTTCCACATAGGACATGATCGGGTGAATGCCGGGTGGTTGCCACTGCAGTTTGCACAATGAGGCTCATTATCGCACGCATCTGTGGCGTGCTCCTTGCTGGAGCACTTTGCACACGTGTTCCTTCCTCGACAGTTCCTCGAACCATGGCCGAACCGCTGGCACTTAAAGCACCGCTGAGGGTTCGGCACATAGGGTCGGACTGGGCACTGGAGGTATCCTGCCTTTATGGTCTCTGGTAGTGTGGTGGAATCGAATGTCAAGATAATATGTCTTGTTTTTCGTTCGACACCATCTCGGCGGAGGGTGATGCGGCGTGCACCTACAACCCCATGGCTGGCGAGGCCCTCAACGAGCTCTTCCTCAGATGTTTCGAGCAAGTCGTTCTCAGAGATGACTCCCTGAATGGTGTTCAGCTTGCGGTGTGGTGTCACGCTAACCTTATAATCTGAAACGGAGTTCAAGGCGAGAAGAGCGTCACTTTGTTGATTTGTGTTTATCTCGAACAGAAGGTCGCCCGACGCCATCTTTTTGGCATTGAAGTTCGTACCAACAACACCTTCAAGGACTTTAGAAACAAGGAAGGGAGAAAGCTTGGCAAGTGACTTTTCCGCCTCAGAATGGAGGACAAGAAACTTCGGAAATTTAAAAAGCTCAGGGGACTTTGCGGGATGGTAAAGGACTTCGGTGCGGGCCCCTTTTCAGGGCCCGATCAGGTTTTGGTTTTGTTTGGAACCCATAATAAATGGGGAGGCGCTGGGCGTCTGTAGCGCACCACCCACCACGAAGCCCAACATGGGGATAGGTAATGCGCCATAGCAATAAAGCTTTTGCTGACGACATTACGCTATCAGTGCTACCAAGACACTATAGCCTAGTGCGGGTCTAGACAAGGGGTCTATCGCCACCCAGGGTTAGCCCTTGCCGCCAAAGATGGTGAATATGAAAGAAAGAAGAGCAGAGAAAAGAGAAAGATAAGAGGGGATAGTAGAAGATGTGGCGACTGACTGAATCATCCTGGTCGGGCCAAGCCAGGACACCCGTCTACAGGAAGCAGGGGCCAAAGTGGTGTGTTGCCTCGCCCGGGGGGCCCCGAAGGGTCCAAACCTACCCCAGGCTCAGCTCAACCACCAGGATGCCCTTTTCCCTGGACACGGGCTCGCCACGCACAGCCAGACGTGGGTGGGTCTTAGCCACTTTTTACTCAGGGTCTGTGGTGTCGCCAAAGTGGTTGGTGTCCGTGGTGACGCTACTCTCCAAGCACCTAGCACCTAAGGTGCAGGCGCCCCCTGCGGAGCTCGGGGTCCGTGGAGACGCCACTCTCCAAACACCTGCTTTCACAGGTGCCCCCTGCGGGGTGATATCCGGCCTCAGGGTATAGAAAAAAACATACCTTGAAAACCGTAATATTTCTCATGAGTAACTTTACTACACACTGAACCATGTGTTTAGGATTTTCAGACGATCAAAAGCAATTCAATCCAATGACATATAAAGCAATTCAGTAATATTTAAAATTTTGCATGTACAAGGTGATACAAGGAGACGGCAGGCTCTTTAAATCGACCGCAAAATTCGGTTTCTTTACCTATCACTCTACGACTTTGTTCAGCGTTGCCCACAGATGGTGCATTTTTTGTGTAAAATTTGCAAAGAGCGAACTTACCTGAGGAAAAAGTAAAGAAAGAAAAAGGCTTAGCTCCGATGGAAACGCAGCGACGCCACCGGTCTTGAAACAACACGGCGCCGTTTCGCACGGGAGACAAAAGATGGCGCAACGAACGCCGCCAACGAACGAGCCTACGGCGCCGAGAGCCAGCGTCTGTAGCAGACAATCTTTTCGACTCAAAAGCGGCGCGCGTTCCGCGGGCGGCGACAGGCGCAGAAACAAAAACAGGCGCGGTAACAAGGAGCTGCAGTTCCTTGTCTGCTAAATACGCACGGTCAAACGCTAAGCTTACAGCATTATTATCTGTTTCGATTACTCGTTCGGCCATCCAGTTTTACCTTGTACCTAAGGTTGCTTGCAAGTACAAAAGAGTGAGTAACCGTTTGTTGTTTTTGGTTACTACAAGTACATTGCGTGTCTAATTTGTACTCTTTTACAATGGAAGATTTTTAGTTTTGTGTAGTCTAAGCCCTTTGTTGATAATTCGTATAATGGATATCACTAGTGTGATAAAAAATCTGCATCGAAATTTTAGCCTATTTATTTTGATACGATACAGTCCATCTTCAGTCTATTAACACACTGCTGGTTCCATTGTTATGAAAAAAAAGTGTACAACATTTTGTTAATAAAAAACTGTCCGGCAGCTTTATCTCAAAATTCGTCTACGGCCTGGAATGCAGAAATAGTTAGCGTTTTTCAATTAATTCACATGGCATTCATTCGGTTAGGGAATGGTTAAGGAAACCGTTTTGTTGATTAATTGAAGTCAAGTGAACTAAAGTCACATGAACTAGGATCACATGTCTTGGTCAAGTGAATGGACATCAAGGTGTGCAGTCATGGTGTCACGTTAGACACAACCGAAAACAGGGTAAATTAATATTTGAAATCAATTTGCTTGCTAAACTTATCGAAAAAATATGCTTTCACTGACGGGTGCATGGACGGACAAAGGTATTTCTAAGAGTGCGACGAACTGTTAAAGATATTTCTATGACTTCAAATATTAAACATCTTGCGGGTTGAACACACCAATTACTCAATGGTAACTGTTATACAATACACATTTTTAGTTTATTTACCAGTTTATACTCTTACACGTGAGGCAAAATATTTTTTTTTCCTTGTTTGCAGATTTACGTCGTCGGGCATTGACCATTCCTTATATTAAAGAAATGCTAGTCAGAACTTTCGTCACGCTGCTCCTTGTACCCACACTACAATGCGGTAAGATAAACGCGAACGAGTGCGAATACTGTGGCCTTCTAATTTTTCAAGAAAACTCAATCCGCAGTTATGTCCATACTAAACCATTTACACTTTGAAAACTTTAACAAAGATGTGCCGGTCGCTTACACTCATATCTGCGAGCTTTGCACACTCCTTTTTTAATAATACTTAATTGATAATGCTGAAGTTGGATTGTGTTAAGCTTGCACCATTCATTTCTGATATTTTAGCGAGATTTATTTTAGCAACTTCATGAAATATTATTGCCTGTACCGAAGATTGTTTTTCGTGAGAGATACATCTTTTTAACTTCTAGATATTATGTTTTCTGGGAAATATTGACGACGACGAATCGACATCCCAGCAACCTTTTTTTTTCAAACGTCGAGAAATACGGCGGTGGAGCAGTCAAAAGTGTTGTGATTGCAGACTTCTGCGAGCTTCAATACGTCTTTATTTCATGGTCTCGTGCTTATATCTCTATAAAATGCGTGCTGCATGTGCACTTGATGGTCGAAAAAAGGATATGTAAAAACCGTTTGGATCCCAAGAAGCCTACTCCTAGGGTGTTAACCTGTACCCTAAGGGTGCTTATAGGAGAACCCAAATCATACGTCTAAGCAATCAGTAACCCCCCCCCCCCCCCCCCCCGCTCTAACAGTTTAAGCGTCAAAATAGGTTATGACCGTTAAAAACTAGCATCCCTTGCCCGAAATAGTGATATATTTCCTTTGCAAGGCTCATTTGAGCGTTTCTCAACTTGGATGTAGCATCAGTTCAATATCTTGAAATGAAAGTATGTTCCGTAAACACTCATTACTAGAAATATTGTCATGAAGGACAAAGGATGAGGCTGCGAATAGCTGAAGAAACTAAACGTTTAATGGGGCGAACTTGTGCCCAACACAAAATAGAGAAAGGCTAGAGTCACAGGCGTCGATGTCGGCGAAACAGCAGGATCGACCGCTGGGGCGAGACTGACAGTGGCTTGCTACGCGCAGCCCCTTTCGCACACGCGTGGGCTTCTGGAACATTCGGCCTAGAACGTTTGGCTCGTAGAATATTCGTAACTGGATCGGACGAGAAGGTTCTCGATCGTACGAGAACACCAAGTGGAAAGAATAAATAAAAGATGTTTCCGCTCCCTTGAATCGAACCTGGATCCTTCGCGCGACAGCCAATCACGCTAACCGCGCTCGCTCCGCGACGCGTGTGGCAATAAATCCCACAACCAAACTCTTGAGTGACTTTTTTATTAGGAAATTAGGATGTGCGTCATACCTACGCACCTGAAAAAAAATATTTCCTAAAGTTCAGCGTCCCTATGACCAATTTGGAAACATGCTCTTATTTCGGGGTCAACGTCCCAAATATAATCATGATTTGCAATTACTTTTTATTCAAAATGTGTCTCAAAATAGAAACAGCGCACTAATTTTTATATTAAGTAATGTTTACTTTGCGACATTGAGGGTGTCAAGGCACTACATGCTTTACCGAAAAATATTTGCATTGCCGAACGCTTATTCTCCGCCCGAAATGCAAACCTAGCAGTCCGAACCAGATATCAAATTTTCAGAACGATTCGTTATCTCATTCAGAAGTTATAAGCTATTTTCTAAAATCTTGAATCGGAAGATGGTGACAGAGAGAGCTCTTGAATACATGGCGCTAAACCGAATCAGTTACTTAAACGAGCCCTCCCCCCACCCTCCCCAACCTGTAGCCCGTCGCTGTTACAAAAAAAAAAAACAACTCTCGCAATCACGGTGAGATCGCTCTGCGCCTTCTCATTGTTTTCTGCTACATCAGCGCACCCTGTGGCGACGCAATTTCTCTCTTCCCCCTCTCTACCCATCGGGCAGCCACCGGTGTGAAATACCCAAATGGTCACGCATAGGCCACCATCCTTCTCGTCACCCCACTGCCGCCACTCAGGTTCCTTTCTCAGAACCCATTCGAGACATTTTGCAGCACACTGGATAAAGAAACATCTCATTCGACATGCCTTTCCACAACGCATCAGCAAAAGTTGTAAATCTCAACACTTTGTTTTGTCACTCACAATCACAAGCAGTGTCCCTCTAAATCGACACTAAAATCTATACAACGTTTTAGAGTACAGAGAGCACAGATATATAAAAAAATTTAAAAAATGCCCTATAAAAAGTCAACAAAAATGGAGGCTTCTGAGGATCCTCCATATTTTGTTTTTATTTCAGATAGCCCTGCTGAAGAATAAACACGTTAGCAAATGGCTTTCCATTAAAATTATATATATATTTATAACACATCGCTCTAAAATTGTTTTCTGTGACAGTTTTTTTTTTGACGCACGTGTCCTATCTGAGGCTTTAAAAACTTTACTAAAGAGCTTAGTCTGCCTTAGACGAATTTCAAATGTTGTCTATTTTGTGCTAAATCGAAGAAAGTTTCAGAATCGATCCTCACTCCAAATAGGTATCCCGACTTGTATGCTTCGTTCAGAAATATTTCTTTCGTGTAAACTTGGCACTTCACATTCGCTTTCTTGTCACATTATTAAAAAAATGTCGGGGAGTGAATTGTCCTTTTAATGGTGCGAAACAATTTATTGTCATAGATACATTTTCGAAAAAGGAAGATCAAATGTTTTGAAACCGAGCCTTGCTCCCTTTTTTTGTTTACATGTACTTCCATAAACGCATGCTATTTAAATTTTTAAACCTTTATTTTAGTGTTTATAAAATGCCTTTCATGCAAAATGTCACAAGCAAGTAGAAAGTGTTGAGGAACGAATAAGTAGTAAATGTAATTTTTGGCATTTATAGGGAAAACTGATGATTAATTTGCGCGCCAAAGCAAATATCTCAAGATATACTTTGATATTGTTTATACAGCACTTCAATCGCACAATACAAAAAGATTTACTCTGATGCTGCTGAGCGTAACGAGATCCAAAATGTTACATTCAATTTTTCGGGATCCTCATTGCACCCTGTGTTTTGAAACTTTTAAAAATGCTTCTGGGGTTTTGCCATTTGCTATATAGGGCTTTGTGTACACATAAAGTTGTTTGCAGGGCACGATGTGACCTTTATATCAATATTCTCTATCAGAAAATTTGTCCTCGATTACCACTGCCAAGCCGAACCTGTGCATGGAACTTATCAAAGAAGGAGGACAGGTTGCATGCACTCTCTCAGGAGAAGGAGTAAGTTTCTCACGTAATACATATAACAACATCGAAGTATATTCATACTTTTTTTTTGCATTTCAGAGAATATATTTTTATTTTAATTTTGCGTTAAGCAGTAAAACACATTTGAAATAAGTATTGGCTTTTCACAAAACAGTAATAACATGTTGCGCGTCGCAGGTTATAAAACCACAAAACATTAGAATGTGAAAGTGAAGAAACTGTGGAACACGTTCCTTACCATTGCGTGCCCAGTTGTGTAGGGCTGTTTAGTTGCCTGAAAAAAACATGGATTATAATATCGTTGCAGTATATAAAAGTGTAGCAAAATGAATGGCGATTTTATTGAAATAAATATTAAATAGGTGTCGAAAAAAATATAATCACTTTAACTTCTAAAAAACAAAATTATTGTAGATATTGTAACAAAAATAACTCGAATAGGCAAAAAATACATCAATAAGTGAAAGCTGCAACAAGTTCAAAATGTACAAATATAGCAAATCAATCAATCAATCAATCAATGTTTTTATTGAAGTGCCCAGGAACAACCTTGCGGTCTTAGTACAGGTGCACTCAGGAAACATGGAAATCAACACTACACACAACAAACAAACAGTAAACAATAAAACACTTAAAAAAGATCACATATGTCACATAAACTCGCTAGGCTATACCACCACGATAGCGAAAGGAAAGGAAAGCGAGAGTATAAAAATTGGTTCTGAAGAACTTAATCAGGTGCAAAAAAAAAAAAAAAAGGGAAGTCAAATTTAGGTGAGGAACTTCAGCGCTCTGATGAACTCCGGTGTGTTATTGTTAAATATATCAATAGAGTCTGTAAAAGAGGAATTGTAGGTGTGCCCAATTCTCGACACGGGGTCGTGAAGATTTGTTACGGGAGCATTGTAGAAGGATGCATTTTGCCTTGTAGTTTTTGCGGGAATTTTCAAACGCACATTTGATATCAATGATGTGCAGTCAGTGATGCCATGAATAAGTTTGTACAGAAATAGGATGTCGGCATGTTCTCTCCTACGCCGCAGGGTGGGCAATGCCAAGCTATGTTGGACTGGGACTGCTGGATCATCGTTTGAGGTAGACGCATTGCGCGACGAGAAACGATGTCTGTAGATACATAAGAACTTATTCTGAACACGTTCGATTCTAGCCGAGGTTGTCGCGCAGATTCCATTCCATACAACAGAGGCATACTCGACGTGTGGTCGACATAAAGCACTGTACAGTGTGACAAAAGTACTAGGGTTATTAAACTCTTTAGTAATGCGGCACGTGATACCAAGCGTACGTAAAGCTGAGCTCACAATATGGTCAACATGACTTGAAAAGCGTAATGTACCATCAAATACAACTCCAAGGTCTTTGATTTCATTCACACGTGAACTGACTGAATGTCATAAGAGAATATAATATTACTAATAATAGTAATATTATATATAATACTAATATAATAATAATAATAATAAGTGTTAAAACTTGCAGTCTCAACCATTGCGGGATTCGTGCCATTCAGTGGAGCCGTTTCTGTATGTGTTAAACACGGATAAATGTACAGGTACTGCAGAAAACCTTTCGCCTCGCTCAAGGTCCCACTCCTCATAGCACACTTGCAGATACGCCGCTTTTTTTTTACGCTTCTGGAGCTTGTATTGCGGTTCTTCAGTATGTACAGTGCTCATTATATCTATTGCGCACCTCTCTTTACAGTCACTATAGTATATATTGTGCTCCCGTAGATAATCAGCATAACGCTTGAGTTTCTTCTCCCAGCTGGAACACTTCCTCATAAATCACTGACAATATTTTCAAGTTTACCCCATGTTCGCAATGGGGAGTGCTATCTTCTGGAGCGTTATCATCTTGGCTGCGCGTTTCTTCATAATAAACTACTTTCTTGTTGGAAAAAATTAACTATAAAAAGCCTCAAACTTGTGGCTCTAATTTAACCATCAGGTGCATTGAAAACAAGCATAAATCACCCGGACTTATGCAAACAGAAAACAGCAAATAACATGTACAACAAAACTAACACAAGCAATACCGACCTGTAGCTGTCAATGTTTCATTCCTATTTCAAAAATCATCGCGGCCAGAACTAAAAGCCGATGATCCGACATCGTCTGCTGATCCACTACTGCAAGAATGAGCAACAAAACTTATCACAGTTGCCCTCGAATGGAGAGACTTCAAACGCTTCCCTGAAGGCGTGCCGCGCGATGAAGACGCCATGTTCGCAGAAAGAAGCTCGCCCTCTGCTTTGTGTTTGGTTCTAAAAAATCGTGATCCTGCTGGAGAGAAAAAAAAAAAAAGAACTATACGGAAAGTGCAACTTGAGTGTCTATGCTAGCCACCATATGACTCAACTTGACCAAAATCTCATTGGAAGCTTTGCCACCGGGCTCGCAAATCGTCGATTACAAATAATCAATTTTGACGTGCGCGGTACGAAAAAAGTTAACGCAAACTATAGTTTAGTTTTGTGATTATGCATATAACACAACTGTATAGTTTGTGTTACGTTGACACTATTTTCTTGCACTCTTGATAAACTTCAACGCAGAAAAAATTGAGCATAAAAAATCTTGAACAATCTGAGATACTGTATACATTTGCAAATTATTGTTTCTTGCGCGCGAAAAACTTGCACTAGTTGTTTTTCTTCTTTTTTATACTGAATAAAACAAAACGAAAACTTAAATGTATTGAACACCATTGAATACTCGTTCTTGCAAGGAAGACATCTCTCTGACATTGTGCTAAGCGTGACGCCACTCGTAAAAATGGTAACATAGGGTGCAATTTGCGACAACGCAACAGAAGGCCAGACAACTATCACCGCCACCAGATGAAATTGACATCGAACTTTAGATAGCATACGCCTCGCCGTCCATTTTCCCTTTTTAACAAGCATGCCGGTGCAAGTGCTTCTCGCAACGACTGTGGCTAATGTCACGGCGCGTCACCAAAGAAAAATCTCAGGCAGCACGCCAGTGTTTGCCCAACGCTGGCACAATATTGGATTGATTGTATTTCGATATTTGATGCAATATTGGAGTGCAACCCTCTCCAACGCTGGGCCACTGAAATTTTCGATAATGAGCCACAGCGCTGTATGATTAATGTCATTACTATTCCAAAATTGGCGTCCCAATTTATTCAAAAATAGCAAATATCCCGAGCCAATATTATACCAGAATTTTCTACATTGAATCCCAATAACACTCCAGGTTTTTCAATATTGGCGTTCAGTGATATGCGAAGCTTTCTGATATTGATGTCGAATGATACGCCAGGATATTCGATATTGGCATCCAATATTAGGCCGCGATTTCGAATATTCTTATTCAACATTATGTCGCAATTTTTGATATTATTACCCAATGATTAGCAATTTTACTGCAATAATGTTAACCAAATATACTCCGTTTTTATGCTATATAATATAATCGCAAGCCGTTTTCTCCAATTGAGTTATCCAGTTACATCCCAGATTTTTTCAATGTTGGCTACCAGTGATAGAAGAAGATCAAGTAAGACTACGCCGAGTAGGGTGTCCGTCGCCATCCATCGTGTTTTTCTTCTCCCGGCAAAAGAAAGCTCTCCGTGTTTATTCGTTTTTCCCTTTTACACCATTTCACCATTTCCAACTTCTTCAACGTCTCTCGCCACCTGCACTTACATAAACTCGGGTCCGTACCCTCTCGATGCGCGGGTTCACAGTTCGCGTAACAGATAATGTAACCTCGTGCGAGGGGGTCGAATTATCTTTCTCTTTTTGTGCGCTACTGTATTCTAGCACGCTCTTGAGGCAAGTCTGAAAAGTGCCCGGTACGAGGCTAAGAGCAACGTCTTCGAGGGTACGGACGATACGATGATACTTCTTTGGGTTTACTTGTCTGGGCATGGTGATCGAGTCCACTCGTCAATTTACAGGGGGGGTGGGAGGTGGGGGTTAGGCCATCTAAAGAGTGCTGACAGAGAGAGAGAGGGAAACCGCGTAAACGTTGTGTGATCCCCTTAGTTTTGTGACACCGATGGCCACCGCTTCTCTCGCTCTTTATGCCCTCCCCTCCCATGGCCTTCATGAATGTTGGTATTAAACTGAGAACCGATGAACGATCGATAGCCCGTAAACACCAGTTTTTCTCTGACTGTTCAAGTTTTCGGTCATGGAGTGTCCGTCGTCTCCATGGCCATCTCTTAATGCGATGTTCGAAATTCAGGGCATTAAAAAAGCGGGAAACTAGAGTTTCAGTGGCTAGTTTGCTTGCAAAACAAAAAAAAGCGCACATTGTTATTAGCCAGAACAACAAACGCTGATCTACGGAAACACATCAAGGTAACCAGGGACACCTGCATTCTGCATTGGCTGTACATTGTAACATTAAAATCAAGTTTTTCTTTGCTTGGGAAAAGCAAGCGAAACACCTCAGTCAAAAGGGAGCGTTTGTAAATCGCTTCTTTAGCTCCAAATCTCGTAGCGGAGGTAGACACTGCTACTGAGCGAGCGCACCGCTAGCTTTGTCTTTACAATTCCAGGGATGATTTCCGGAGGCCGTAAGCTAGCGAAACGGCGGGTGGTTGAGCTTTTGGTACCTTGTCAGCTTACTGGTGAACGTAGTGCAACTACACTCTCTCTTATGTACTACATTTTATTTTTATAAGGACTACCTAATACGGGCGTATGAGAATTGAAGAGTATTGGTTGCACAACGTTTTTGAAAAATGTCAGAATTGTTTCTATTGTTTTCTGGATAAGGTTACGGAGAGTAACGTGAAAGTACTTTGGCACGTAACAAGTAAAGTAATTCGTTACTTTTCAGCGAAAGTAATTTGTAACGGTAATCCATCACATTTGAGGCTCGGTAATTTGTAATTGCAATGCATTATATTTTTCAAGTAAGGAGCAGAAATCTGACTGTCTCCCATTATACCATCAACTTAATACTCCACCCTCAGAAAAGCAAATGCAGATATGGTGTTGATGTCCATTT